TTTAATTCATATCCATTCTGCGAACAACGATACAGTGTTGCTGACGGAAAACGATTCTGAGCGACATTCGTTTATACATGATACACACATAAGGCCGTAATATATACGATTTTCTTCATAATGTGATCTTGAAACCGTTATAAAAAAAATTACCTACTACATTACACTCACACTGCATACTTTTATTTTTTGACCACTAATAATACAAATTATGACGAACCTCACGTTCAATTTTCACGCATTTCCGTTTTCTTAAACAATTGCAAGTATATTCACTAGTACCTACCAAATAAAAACACTTAAACATAAAATGCCTATAAATGGCTCAAAAATCTAAAATTTTACCACGTCTAAAAAATGTAAAAGTATAAGTTTTCTGTCGAAGTTTCAAGTCTTTACGAATTAATTCAGTTTTGGTCAATAATTAAAAAACCTACAAAAAAAATCAAAAAACGACTTACTATTTCACCAATTAGATCCAAAATTTAACATAAATGGTATTTTGATTAAAGCGATATTTCTGGTGGAAAACATAGTTCGTAAAAATTTAAAACAACGAAATCGATAACGCCGGGGTGCGCTATAAAAATTTGCGATTTTTTCCAGTTATTACGAAAACCACTTGGAAAATCACAAAATGACCTCCCCTGTGCACCAGCTAGATAATATTTCCTTTCGAAAAATGTGACAAAACGGAGCAAGTGTCCTGTTGGAAAAATTGCTCACAGACGCGAAAAGGAAAAACACAAAAAACGAACACACGCCATAGTAAAACCAACAGTTCCCCCTCGCTACACTCCGAATTTCAAATATTAACAGAAAAAAAACCGCTTCACAGGCAACTCACTAATTTTACAACGGGCACACGAAATACACGTACCAACAATATATTATTTCAATAATATTATACTATCAAAAAAAAAAAAAAAAAGTGTCTGTTCAATTATACGGATACCCACTTGTTTAAGGGAGACGAATCCCGTTCGAAATACGTGCTCGTTCCCGGAATAACAGAGTTATCAATTGCGCAGATTAAATACTGTACAAATTCAAATCAAACGTAAGCCCCGCGTAAACAAATATTGAACGGTTTAAAATGTATTAACGCGAAAACCGCGAGCAATATTCACAGTACCTATTTATACATTTAGAATAACAATTGTATTTGACTGCTGCAGGTATTATATAAAGATTAAAAAAAAAAAAAAATTATTATCTCGAAGTGTACGGACAGGATCGCATACACGGGACAGGCGGCGGATGTCCCGCGTCGAGTTTTTTTCGTTCACACCTTGGACATCGTAAAAAAAAAAAAAAACCCGGCGGCCGTTTTACTAGAGAACGGTGCGAATCTATAATACTTGTCGGATGCGGTGGAGTGCGGCGCACCCGAGCCGGGTACCGCGTTCAAAAATCCATTCTAGTTGGGTCCCGAGTTAACAGCGCCATATTGACGTAGTAACTCATTAGTTATTAGTAACGAACTAACATGGGTAATAAGTTTAGAAAAATAAAACTCGATTTTTGTCTCGAAACGCTTGATTATTACATTTTTACACGAGTACATTTAGTACACGAGTATTGAATCACATTGAATGGACACATGTTTTTAAATTTTTTTTTTTGTTTTTTTATTAATTACATTAAATAATCGGGTATTCATTGGACGACCGGAGACCACCCTCTGAATGTTTTCCAAAATATGAATTCATCTGGCAAAACAAACATTTTTTTTTTTTTTTCATTTCTAATTACAAATCACTGACAGTCCTAAGCCGGCAAAAACGAGAAGGAAAATAAGCGTTTGTTTTGCTCGTAAACGTTTGGACCCAACTAGTATAGTACCAAACATTCGTTGGGACCCAACTAGTGGTACTGCCCACCAAAACCACTAAGATCCGGGACCCGATTCGGATGCAGCCGTGGATGGGTGCCGCCGCCCCCGCTATTCCCACGATACCGTCTTTTTGACCGTTCCCCCTTCAATAGGTCTGTACCTACACTGGGAACGTATATTATCGTCGGACACGTTTGTCGGACGACGTCCGATTGGAAACAAACGCCCGCGCCGCAAGTGAGGCCACGTACAGTGCGACGGACCGGCAGCACGTACGTCGTCCGACCCGTTCCGACAGCTTTAGACCGTCGGTTGAAAATCGAATCGTTTTGTTTTTCAACGTACGTCGTCCAACACGTGCGTTCGGTTCCTATTTATTTAAACTTGTTTTATCATTTTCATATGAACACGGATAAAGACTTTCTGATTGAACTGGTGAAGGAAAATCCAGACGTGTGTAAAATTTGTTAAAAATAAAAGTAGTTTGTCTCGGTAGTCTCGGGCGGGGGGGGGGGGGGGTAGACAGGTCCTAAAATATTCGCCTTTATTTCTATTTTTATTGAATTCGTGCGCTCAAATTTTTTTTTTTTTTCTTAACTTTACCCGGCCGTGTACTCGTGCGATATTTCAGGGTGCGTTGACTCCGATAGCGAGCGCGGGACGGAGAACACGGAGTATTTTTCAAAATTATCGACCCCGGGGACTATAGAATCATTGCGTTCGGTTTCTCATCGGGGCGCGCGACGTGGGTGTTGCGCAACTAAACATTACCTGCGTTATGCAACCGAAAAAATTAACGGCACCTACCTAACCTTGAATGTAACGCATCGGAGTGTATAATTTATCATATCATCCGATAACAAACACCTAGGCAGGCGCACACTGCCAACAACATTATAATTGTTCACCGATGGACATTACGGAAAGTTATTATATCGCGAGCGAACAGACGCCCGATTTAATTTCATTTCTCGGTTCGTATGACAATGTTTATCGTTACCATTGTGTTGTTCCCGTTTCAACGAAATTCCGTCAAACGATCAACAAGAATCTGTTAGTAAAACATACGCGCGCCTTGTACCGTACGGACGGGCTGCGTTCTACAGTTCTGCACGAGTGCCGACAGCACAAAGTCCGACGGCGCGTATTGTTGACGCGTTCTTTTCCGGGGGTCGCGCGGATTTGTTGTGACCCTGGGTGCCAATGGAAAATACCAAAACTTTGGAATTCGCACTGTGGTACCGAAAACCGAAATTCCACCAGACGCACACAACCGCGTGGAAGAGGTCCGATTTTTAGTCCGGGCGAAATTAAATAACAGTAAACAACACTGTGCAGCCACTAGGCGGTTTCGTTCCTAATCTGTACACCGAAATCCATTAAAAACCTGCGGGCACAGTGCACTGGAGGCCTTAATCTTTTGTTAAATATGTCGATGATAACGCCTGGATAGTAGATATAGGTATCAAATTATAGACTGGCAATCTTCCCAAATATTCACATAATATACAATAAATATTATTTTTTCCTCATTTCAAAATATGTAGGTATGTTTTTCGTGCTTAATCTATAGCACACGATACATTATTGTGAACGATATTTTTGTTTTTTTCGTTTTAAAATGTTGAAATCGTTACACAACATTGAGTAATAAAATATTTGTACACTTGTACCTAGGTGCCTATAAATATAAATTTGATTGATCAATAGAACAATCTAAATAAATATTTATTGAGTGAGGTACAAATGAAAACTGATCTGGCGGAAAATGAGAATGGTTCAATAAGATTCCCGATGCATTTTCTACAGTGTTTATTATATGGGGGTGACCAGGGTTGGTATTGCCCCTTCACCCTGTAGACAAATTGCACATCATCCCCCTAAACATGTAAGATATTACTACACGTGTGATATGACATATGAAATGAGTTACAAGCCGTTTATGAGTCATCTGGTTTTTTCCCCAGGTTCAAAAATTCCTAAATCCGACTCTGTCTTTGACATACCCATTGGAAATTTACGATACTCCTTCGTGGATCAAACTCTGAAATAAACACAGATTTCTTGTATTTTTAAAATGATATAATTTAATAAAATATAAATGTACGTACTTTCACGAATGTGGGTAAAGGTCATGTTGAAATATTATTGGTTTTGAAAAGGCGGAACAAAGGAAAATATCAATTAGACGGACACGCATTATTTCTGTAAAACTGATAAAAAGCAGATTTTATATTTTGATGTTGTTGTCTCAGAAACAATTAAATTTTATTTATTAAAAAAAAAAAAAATGCTTGTTATAAAAAATTATAAAAACCAAAATATATTTTGTATTTTATTAAAACTGCATTGATGAAGATGAGAGAATAATATTATCTGTTTAAAAACATTTCCTTTTTGAACAGGATCAAAAGACTATAATATATTCTACCAGTTGTCGCACCATAAATTCTGAATTTTCTTCAATACAAACAACAAATTAATTAATGTTTCAGTTAATTAATCAAATAACCAATTATTTATTAAATTTGTGTTTTCTTTTTCAATTCTAACATCTTTAGGTACACAACAATCCAAAGAACACACCATTTGTGTAGAACATAATAATATATGGCTCAGATAATCAAATAATTATAATTTTTTCTGAATAAACTGATCACCTAATATTGACAAGAAAAAAATGGTAACAATCGGCTGTACATTACTGTTAAAGCTAGGGTTCAAAAATATTAAAAACAAAACAATTCAAAACTATATGCTTATACTTATATCAGTGAACTTCAAAACAAATTTGTAGGCTAAAAGACCTACCTTTTTTTAAATAAGTTTCCAAATTTATTGTTCTACTTAGTTGACATATTAGTTACAAAATCACATTGCTATATTCAATTATTATAATAGATTTATGTCCGCATAATAATAATAATCTGTTTAATCTAAAACAGCACAATAAGACATCAAAGTACAAAAACCAATGTACAATTTAAAGTTCAATGTTCAGTAACCAAAATCTTTACCTGGATGTTTCTTTAGATACAAAAAATAAATAGCTTATATTGAAACAACCAATCAAATATTTATATTAAATAGTTGAATTGTATTTACATAATAATATATTTTTTACGAAAATAAATCTATGCTTTATAGCAAAATGTTATGCTATTTAAAAAAAAAAATACTAAATATTAAAAAAAAATAATACATTTAATTGGTTTAAAAAAATAATTTTATTGGTAGACAAGAATATTATTTTTTTAATCAATCCATACACAACATAAAAAATTAAAATAGGATAATGATAAAACAGGAATAACTTACATAATTAATTGTGTTTTCTTAATGGCGTGTATAATATTGTATATTATGTGTTTTCATTGGTTTAATAAATAAATAAAATTGAATGAATCGACAAATTAATAGAATATTAAGTACTAAATTTGTATATGAAGATAAAAATAGTAATATCACAAAATAACAATTTCATTAAATTTTCAGAATGTAAGTATTACAGGTGTTGTTAGGTATGATATGATTACTTTTCAGATTTAACTTTTGGAAATACAAGACCAAATTTGGACTCTATTCCTTCCAATATTGGTAATACTGCATGATAGCCCCCAATATGATCCGGATTCGATGGTGTTATTCCATCACCTGCACCATGCACAGAAACTAGTTTTTCTGAACCAGATGGTCGGCTAAAAAAATAATTTTAATATAACATTGAAATAAATGGTTATGTATTGTTTGTAATGTTCAATACTTACGAGCCTCCAAAATCTACATAGAATAATCTTTGTAAAATTTCATAAGACAAAAGTGTAACTCCAAATTGTGGTGATGAACGGAACACACGAGCTAAATAAAATAGAATAGACATTTGAATTAGGAAGTTAGTATATCTTATTTGAATAATTTGTTTTAATAATATACTAACCGCCTGTGCCTTTCCAAAATGCCCTTGGTCCTTCTTCATTATAAATTTTTGATGCACAATCAACCAATCCTTTATAAGATGTTTGACCTTTTCGAGCTACAACTTGTAGTCGTGTTTTTATCACGTCTGCGGGTGTCACTAATGAAGCAGCAGGAACACCAGCAATACAACCAGCTGCTAATAATGTTAACGGATGATTATAACCTTTTTCATCGGCAAAAGCCTGTTTGACATGATTGTATGCTGGAAAGTAAATAGCGCTGAATGGTATGTCCCTAAGAAAACATGCTTTAGCACCCTAAATAATCATAAATTAAAATAAACCATAGTTAAATTAAAGACAAATTTTAAAAATATACTTATTTATAAATTGTTTACCTTATACATTCCAAAAAATCCCAATTCTTTAATAACAGTAATAGCACTCAATTTTCGTGTGGACGCTATTTCACCAGCCACTTGTAAGCGAATTTTTACTATTTCTAATGGATTGGTAAATATTACTTGTGAAAATCCTGCCTGAAATAAATATATTGACATCAAAACAAAATATAGTGTATTTAGTAAAAAAAAAAAAAACAAATTTATACTAACACAAGCCCCTGCAACAATTTCTGCAGAGACAGTCAAATCTCCATTCTCTTTGCGTAATTTGTCTCTTACTAAATCATTAACAGTAAGCTTTGCTGCTTTTTCTGGAGCAACACCTATCAGCTGAGGCAATAGACCTCGATAAAGTCCGAATATTCCTTCATGTCTAATTACCTAATTTATATTTAAAAACAAACATATAATTAATTATTTCATTACTTTTTTAATTGTATGTTATATAAACTAATAACTGACTTTTTTAAAACAGTCAAAACTGTTTCTATACATGAGTTCACCAATAAATGAACCAGCTCTTTGATTTTGTATCCTTGTTTTAACCAAATCAATTGGATACACTGCTGTTGCACCGATAGCTAAAATAAACCACAATTACTGAATTTTAAATATAAATATTGTTATTATGATTTTATAATTGACTACTTAATATAAAATTATTTAACTATATGAAATACTTTATACTACAATATTTTACTATAGATGAATATAATTTAACTAAATAAAATGTATTTCAATTATTTGTTTTTGTTTCAAATATTATCTATAGTTTCAGTAGTGATCAAAATCAACTTATTTGTTTTGTCGGTGAAGAAACTGCGGACAATTTTGAATATCCATTTATGACTTATACCATAAGACAATTATATCAGAAGAATGGATATTGATGGAGACCCATTGTTTCACCAATAGCAAATTACATGATTTAAAAACCAATAAAATTAAGATTGTAGCTGGAGCCTAATAAGTTATATAAAACCTACAAAATATACACAAATCAGAAAAGAAATATAATTTTACCTACATCCAAACTAAAAATTTAATAGAATACTATGTGTAAATTAGAGTTAATAAAATCAATCCATTTGATTTGACAATTATTGCTAATATTATTCGACTATTAGTTAAATGAATTTCAGTAAATAATTATTTATCATATATGACGATTGATTAGGAAGAAGAAACCTTTTATCTTAGGAAAGAGTTAAGATTATTTGTTTGCAAAAAATGGTAAAGCACCGTGTGATTACAACACTAACAGTCAACTTATGTGTCTAGGTGGTACATGATAGATAAAATGGAATACTTGCATGTTAAGATATTTGATAGCAATTAATGACAGGTACTTATCAAGTATACAAAAAAATAAAATTAGAACAAAACAGTACAACCAGTACCACCAGTATATGTTTGTTTACCCTCATCTAAATTGGATACGCTATTATGTGCCTACTGTACCGAGCATGCAAACATCCCACTACTTGAATCAAATAAAATAATACCTCCGGAAACTGAGCCCAACATAAACCGATATACACTCTCCAATACTTGAATAAAAACTCCTCGATCAGATGGACTCTGAAATCATTGAAATAACCTCAAATAAAATGTACTGATAGAGATAACAACTTATATACTATCACTTACAGATACTGCGTGGAATTCAGCTATTCTACGATTGTGTATTTCTTTGTAATACTGTTCTGGTGTTATTGAATTCAAGTCATTATAAACTATCTTGCTAAAAAAAAATACACATATATTTTTACAGAAATGTAATAATAAAATATACCTATACAAGTACCTATATTAAAAATTAATTACCCAGCTCTTTGATGTAATAGATGACAAAGTGTGAACAATATATCAACTTCTAATGGTGTAATTTGAGACATAACTTGTGTGGAATACAAAAATTCATCTAAACAAGAAAATAATCCATAATAATAAAAATAATTTGTTTATAAATGTCATAAATTGCATAAAATCTGTGTAAATGACCTTTAGTAACTTCTCGATTTCGATTTTCATTACTGGCATTTAAATAAATACGTTTAATAAGTTCCATATTATTTAAAAGTGATATAAAGGCCATGAAATATGGAAAACTGACCCGGTGGGCTCCAGCAGCCTAACAAAAAAATTGTATATTATTTTTACAATATAAACTTTAGATAACAAATAAATCATTGTATGGAACTAAATTACTGGTAATAAATTATCTCGAACACCAGTAGTTAATAAATGGCTTTTGGATAACAGCATTATTTCTTGAAAATCATTAGCAGATATAAAACCAGAGCCAGATTTATCAAACGTACGGAAAATTTCTGTTCCACATTCTTCATGAAAATCCTAAAACACAACTTATATAACATTAACTCCTAATTTATGAATTTTTTTATTTTATTGATCATTTTATTACGTACATGTAGGAATTGAGCGAATTCTGAATAGTTAATAATACGATTTTTTTTCTCCCCGAAATACAATTTCATAAATTGACTATCCAAATTGAAAGGTATTAATAAGTAAAGTTCAGTTTTTTTAATAACTGATACAAATTCATCTGAAAAAAAAAAGAATCTATTAAAATGACATAATAATTTATAAATTTATACATTAGTACCATAGGATATAACACCGTTTCCATTTATATCAAACAGGTGGAATGCTACTTTATATAAAGCATCTGGTTCTGATAAAAGACTTTCAAATGCTTGAAATTCCGCAAATGAAATGAGTCTAAAAAATTCAAATTACAATTATAAACATAACATCATAAAAGTACTTGATTTATTTTTTTTTTTTTTTAAATTCTATTTTAATTTATTAAATATTTTGTCAAATTCAATTCCTAGATAATTTTTATTTACATATTCAGATTTATAATATACGAAGATTTAAATAATTAAATTTGCTTTGTCATTATAAAATTATATATGATATAATTAATTGATATTTTTTTTATTTAAATTTGAGTATATACTTCAAGGTAATAAGATAACATCAATTGAAATTATTTATTGTTCCATAAAAAAAAACTCAATTGTACAAAATTAATTTATTTAAGTACTAATTTACTTCAATATCTCTTAAACATGATAAAAATAAGTTTTAAAAAGTAGGTATGTTTATTTTTTTATAGTTATATTTTTTAAGTTATATGTACTAACCCATCTTTATTAGTATCCACAATTCCACTTAATAACCAAAGTGAATCCAAGTCACTGGACGGTTCATTCAATATGCCAATATAATTTTTTATGAAGTCTACAGAGTTTATATATCTCTCGCCTTGCTTCTCGACAGTGGTATACTAACAATTAAAAAAATAATTTTAATACAACATTCCTCATAAAGTAATTAACTGAAAATAAAAAAAACTCACTTTGTTGAACACTTCTAATAGTTGTTCTGTGGTTGCGCGCTTTAAGTAACCACTTTGGTGTGCCTATATACAAAGATTTCATTGTAGAATTTAAATAAAACTATTATAAGGGGTTACAGAGAAGACCAAATTCACGAGATTTTTACCAGTTATAAAAAGTTATTTCGATCTTAATTAGTAGGTAACATCTTATGGCAATGATTTTATGGGGTCAATTTAAGCTTGATCATATTAGATAAAACAATGTATCCATCTACACATGCACACTATATGAATGCATAGACAATGTGTTGTATAATAGATGAAAAAATGTTATATTTCAAGTGTTGAAATAGGTAAGTGAACATAATTATTCATCAGGTTGAACAGAACATTTAATTAAATAAACTATAAGTACTCACTTCTTGACAATGAGCAATTTTCGGCCTGAAGCCCCATGTTGAATTCAGCATTCCGTTAAACATGTATCATGTAAGTATTAAGTAGTTGTGAGAGTTTTTTTTTTCAATAAGTACAAGGCCAGCACGGACGTGAAAATCAATTTCCTTCTTCTTTATTTGTGTTGTTTTTTTGCCCTTTTCGTAACGTACCACGACTAGGGACGACCGACAGCTAACGACGGCCAACAACACGAAAGTAAATTTACACCAAGTACAAAACGCCGCCGACCAAGATAACACGAAACGATCACTGATTATAACAGTCATGCGCAGAACATCGCAGCAACTGCTGCTGCAGGTTGCGGCAGTGGTTAAAAATCGATAATCTTAAAAAAAAAAAGGTCAAAAACGTTATCAGGGTGCTCATTATCAGCGTAAATTAATGGCGTTGAGGGCAACCGCAGCAGTTACCGATTATTTTATTAATATTATTATAATATTTATAACATTGTGTTACGCCTTTCGCGAACGCGATTAAATATATTTAATTATTAACGAACAAATTAAAAAATAATAACACATCAATGGACCGCACGATTTGTTAATAGTGAAACATATCAAAAAAATTCAGGTAAAACTAAATGACTAAATAATAATACTATCATCGTGGAAAGCTCAGAACTAAAGAAACCGAATCTAATAACTAATAGCCTAAACTAATATAATCTAATCTGACAACTATAAGTAGAGAACCTTTTCAATAAATATTCTCTGAAACAATAATAATGTTTCATAAAATTTGGCTATTTTGTTAACAAAATTACTTTGATTTCTACAATGATAATTCCATCTAGTATCCGGCAACCTTATTCAACACCTACGTTTTATTCATCACTTGGAAGTTGATTACATTTTTCTTAGAACATTATAGTAATATATACTGTAGCTCTCATCAGTCAATCTGTTTAACCAGAACATTAACTTTACATTATTTTTTAATTGACATCAGTTGCTATTAAAACATTGTATTCGCATAATATGCCTAGAAAGATCATAGCTATGACAGTAATTATGCTGTGAGATAACCTTCATTCTAATGTGAGTTATTGAAAAAAAAATCAGTACCAACTCAGACTAACTACCAATTAAACATCACGTTATAAAATAATAGAATATTATTTTCCGAAAAAGACAGATAACTGTGTAATTCTCTGGTTTCCAAATAACTAAATAACTTTAAATACTATTATATCAAACAATAATAATTATTGATATTAAATTTCAAGAAAAAAAAAAAACTAATTTATATCTAACTACATTGAATAAGTATTAATAATTAATATTATATTGTGACATATTATTTTGGCCTGACAAATGTGTTACAATTCAAATTGTGTCATTTAAACTAGGTAGATATTCAAGTTGACTATCAACACGTTCTAAAATCATAATATTTAGGAAATTCCTTTATCTTATCATTATATGTTTATCTGAATAAATTGTTTTCAATAAAACCAATGAATTCTCTAATTTCAATTGTATATGGTATACCTCGCAACATATTTTTTTCAACTAAACAATTGTACTATTTCAAAATATTAAAACATAATTTTGAGGTATTTAACAAAAAAAAAAATGTATTACATAGGTAGTCACATGATGCACAATAAGTATCTGGGCTTATTTATAATTTTTACAATTAAGACACATTTTAGAACGAGGACTAAATTAAATCAACCAATTAAATATTTATGAATTAGGCAAAATTATAAAGTTTTCACTAAAAACAAAATGTACCAAGAAAAATAGTTTTTTGTGTTCCCTTAAAAAACCCAAAATTTTGAATTGGGCCCTTGTTCTAATAATCGCCTCAATTGTTGTGTAATTCAAAGCTAAACATATTAACCCCGATTTCAAATATTGCATTAATTTTTATTACTTAAACTTACATATATAAAACTTAAAAAAAATTGGTAAATACCTACTCAATATTTTTTTCACTTGGTATTTACAGACTTTAGTACACATTCTATCCGCCAAATTAAATGCATTGATAATATTGTTGTAGATAACAAGTAATTAAAAATTTTATTATCTAAAAAAATACTATGATCCATTCAAAACAAAAAATAATAAAAATAAATGTTAACTCACATTACTTTTAACTAAAAATATAAATTGCCTATTTAAAATTAAATGTGTAATATTGTATATTTCAGATATGTGGCTTACAAAATTGCGTCCAATTTTGGGCAATAGATTACAGTCAAGTCAATTCCTATTTAAAAACAATGAACAACTGAACATTTTAACCGTGTTGCCTGTGCATAAATATAACCACCGTACTTACAAAAATTTTGGTCATCAGAGAGATCCTCCAGAACATCCATTGAAAAAAGCATATCTTTTGGGTTTTCTAGGCTTAATAATTTATAATTTTGTTGATTGGAAAAAGTAAGTCAATTTTAATCTACTGTTAAATAATGTTTAAATTACTGTTAATCTGGTTATTCCAATTTCTCGTAAAGTGTTGGTTAGTAGCCCTAAATTAACTAACAGAATTTTTCCGGTTAGCACTAACTGGACATTGTATGAATGGGCCTAAATTATATAAAATATGGTAGTTCGAATACTTTAATATAAAACTAGGGGACTTGTCCCTTGATTGCTTTGCTCGCCAATTCCTGTAACTCATAACCATATAGTTAAGGTTAATAAAATATGAAGATATAAATATTCACAAATTTTTTATATAATAAAAATGTAATTAATAAGACATGTAATTGTTTTCATTTTTTAAATAGATCATGATAATAACTTGTTTTTCAGCGTTGGTAAAAAAATATTTCCTCCTGTGGATGCCGATAGTCATGTTGATACTAATGAGAGTACTGTTCAGGAAGTTTTAGAAGAAACAGTTGAGAAAAAAAAGAAAAAACCCAAGCAAAAAGTCGGTTTTCGCGATCGAAAGGTTTTATTATATTAGTATAATACACTTCTTTAGATTTTATGTAACCTGCCAAACCAATATTACTCAGACTCTTTTCATCCTTCAATTTTTATTTTTTAGTACTTGGATCCAATCCCTCTAACAGTTCAGTCTTTAACTCTCATTCTTCCACTATTTGATTTTGTAAACTCTACAATTAATACACTTTTTGTATATGGTGATGGATTTTCCAAATTTGTTCTTATTTTGTGAAAGACAAACTTTTTTTATTTATATAAATATGATAAAACTGTTCCACTAATTGACTAAAATTATATTCTGTTTTCAATATTGAAGTTTTTCAAACACAATTCCGATAATTTTACTTGACTTTTTGAACTTAATCTGTCATTATATATACCTCAACCAATCCCCTTTAAATAATTTTAATAAATGTATTAATTTCAGATTATTGAGTATGAAAACAGGATACGTCATTTTTCAACCCCAGACAAAGTATTTAGATATTTTGCTACTTTACAAGTAACACATGTGCACTCAAATGGACAAGAAACTCATGAAGTATTTATGACGCCAGATGACTTTCTTCGTTCTATGACTCCTGGTATCAAACAACCTGACGGTCTTGGCCTTGATCAATACAAAAAATTTGATCCAAAAGTACTTATTATTAATTCAATTGGGTCTCACAAATTTGACAACTTTAACACTTTGAACTTATCAATTTTTAATCATACTGTGTCTTGGTTTTATAGAGTACTCATATGAAATTAGAATTAGCATTAAATGAGGACAGTATATTTTACAAGCTCGGAAGTTCTGGTTTAATAACTTTTTCAGACTACATATTTTTACTTACTGTATTATCTAGTATGTCATTAACATTTTAAATTTACTTTCTTTTAATAATTTTTCAAAACATTTTCAGCTTCAAAAAGGCATTTTGAAATAGCATTTAGAATGTTTGATTTAAATGGTGATGGTGATGTAGACTGTGAAGAATTTGAAAAAGTGGCTACTTTAATTAGACAACAGACAAGTATTGGAAATCGTCATAGAGATCATGCAAATACTGGTAACACATTTAAGGTGCCTACTTTAATTACAAAATTAATATTGCGTTTTTAATATTTTACTCTTATATAAATCATAGGGTTTCAATTCTGCATTAACTACATATTTTTTTGGTGAGAATCTTGATGAAAAATTGACAATTGAGAAATTTCTCGATTTTCAACAACAGTTACAATCTGAAATTTTAAGTTTAGAGGTAAGTAAAATGTTAAATTAATATATATAATAATTACAATTTTCTTATTATAAATTAATTTAGTTTCGGCGAAAAGGACCCAGTGAAGATGGAACTATAACAGAAGTTGAATTTACTGATCTACTTTTGGCTTATGCTGGTTATGCACCAAAAAAGAAAGCCCGTATAATTAAACGAGTAAAGAAAGTGTAAGTATTTAATTCTATAAGTCTTAAATATTGAATATTTCATTTTCAATTATTTGAAATAATTTATCTTGTATATTTATTAGTTAATTAAAACATATTCTGAATTGCATTATCAAAAAGAACTATCCAATTTTGGTTATGATGAAAAATAGTAATGACGGATAACATTCTCATTATGATTATTTTAAATATAATATCATCTTAATTACAGTTTCAAAGAAAACACACAAGGCATTAGCGAAGATGATTACATGCATTTTTTCCACTTTTTGAATAACATTAACGATGTAGACACAGCACTGACATTTTATCATATTGCTGGTGCATCAATTGATCAAGGTTTCTTTGTTTCTGATTGTATAGTAATATAAAAATAATTTATTTTTATGGTTTTTTCTCTCTATAGCCACTTTAAAGCATGTTGCAAAGACAGTGGCCCATGTTGACCTAAATGATCACATGATAAATGTTATTTTCACAATTTTTGATGAAAACCGTAAGTTAATATTTGTTATACAATCGTACTCTTAAAATAAATTAATAATAATATTTATTTTGTTGCCTAATAACTTTCAATCTTAATTTTAAGTTGATGGACAGTTGAGCAATCGTGAATTTGTTGCTGTTATGAAAAACCGTTTATTAAGAGGACTGGAGAAGCCAAAGGATACTGGCTTTGTTAAGTTTATTCAGTCTGTAGGAAAATGTGCTAAGGAAAGTACTCCTATTATTCTTGACTTATAAATCAACGCTATTTAATCTTAATTTAGATTATAGATTATTTATTTATTTACATTTTACATTTAAAATTTTAATTACTATTTTTGAAAACAATTTATTATTAAATTAATTCAAACGTGTCTAGTCTCTTTAATCATATTATGTAATTTTTTTTCTATACTTTGATCCAAATATGGCTGGTATGTCCAGCACGAAAGATAAAACAACAAACTGTCAGTATCCGTGCTGTCTGCTATTTTCAGTAAAAGATTTTGGTGAAGTTTTTGTTCCTTTTTATATGCTCTTAATAATTGTTCAGTAATTTTACCTGTATAAAATATATATATGTATTGTACAAAGGGAATGCATTTAATTTAATAATAATTAAAAAGTTGTTAACTTAATCATACAAAAGTGTTCTGTAGACCATGATATAAAAAGTGGAGTAATGCTGCCCTTTTCTAAAGCTGATACAGCATTGAGATTTATCAATTTAATTCCAAGTCCTTCGATAATATTTGACTATAATGTATTAAAATAAATAAAGTTAATACAAATTCCTGTTTTTTTTCTCATTGATTATTTACCATTTGTTCACATAACTTTTTTAACTCGCTTACTAAACCAGCAAGTTGGTCTGGAAACTTAATGTCCGGCCTATAGAATTTTATACAAATAAATAAATATTGTTCATAAAATCCAGCAGTATTTTTCAAAGAAGTATCTATAATTTGAAATTGACAAGAATAATAAATAGTAAATACAAATTACCCCTGTAGCAATCAATATTAATAATCCATATATTTGCAAACCCAATTTTCTTAACCTACCCTTTTATTCATTAGATTTAAAATGAAATATCTAAATTAAATAATTTAGGACTAACAGTTAGCTATTGTTATACTACACAGTTAAATGTACAGAAATATATATGTTCTATAGTTACAAAATTGAACTTTGTATTAATACAACTCCATTTAATTAACTAAATACCAGAATACGTACGATTGCACTCGTAAATTAAATATATTTGATATCAGAATACACCCTCTGTCTTGATGGGCTTTCCATGTCTGAATACAATTGAATATCTCTGCTGCTGCATCTTTTAATATACGACGGTTCCCTGTCAAATTTCCACTATGTCCTTGAGCTGGTCGACCAACGTAAATATCAACTTCTAAAATAAATTTTCAACTGAGGTAATATATTCATAGTAAAATAAACAAAATGTCATAATATATAAATATACCATGTGCGGGCGACGATTTCCCAATACTTGTATTCAATCCTTTGTGTTTCGGCGTTTCTGACGTCATAACCAATATACCAAATAATATTCCTACCAAATTTAATATTAAAAATTAATTTTATAATAATATTTTACTTTTGAAAATATCAAATTAAATTAAGTAACCATACACTAAAAGATTTTTTGATTATAACCGTATTATCATAATATCTACGCACGTGTACTTCTTATCTGTTAACCGTGGTATCTACCAGTGTCGGGCCATGAGAGTTCATCACAGGAAAAGAAACATTTTCATAATTTTACAAGGGGTCTTATCAATAAATTTGTAGGCTTGATTCAAAATAATCGATAGTTCTATAACTAATTAAATAATTTTGTTCATTACTTTACACAAATAAAAAATATTAAAAATAACCAGACGATTGATAATAAGAAGAATATTCTCACAGCGATGGAACAGCAAATGGTTTTAGTATTTTTCTGAAATGATAGCAATTTGGACAGCAATAAACCGTACAATCAAAAAAAAAAAAAATGTATAGATTGGCAACGTTAAAATATTGTGACTGGTCCCTTATCAATCGTCTGAAAACTCATAACTAAAAATCTCCGGGTTTTGAGTTTATGACTGTGTTATTTTTATGCAAAATATATGATTGTCTGATAATTTTAAAAAATAATTTAACAATTTTAACGTAATTTTATATTCTCCAGCAACTAAAGAGATTGAATTTTGAATCATATTTTTTTTACCTGCCTAATTTTAAAATGTCGTATTGTGTGGCTGTTAACTCATCTAGTCTAGCAATATCAAATATTGATGCCGATTGTTGTTTCGTGTACTCGTTTGACTCAGGAACCATTACAGAGCTAGTAGAACTTTTTGGCGAAATATACTACAATTTTAAGACCACCCCACGCATTTTACAAAAAGCCTGCGCTGCTTTTTCGTCTGACGGTAATTTGTTTGCGTTCAACACGAACAAAGGAAAACTTCTGAGCATATGGAACGCCAATAACTGGACAATGGTTGATAACAAGTTGCTGCCAAAAGACGCGACCAATATAGTTTTCACGCCCAAAACCAATGTAGCTATTGCCGGCGACAAAAAAGGTGACGTTTACTCGTTCGAAAATGACCCGGTCCGAATCCTCGGGCATTCTTCAATGATACTCGGTATATGTTTTAGCAGAGACGAGAAATATATCGTTACCAGCGACAGCGATGAAAAGATACGAGTTTCGCATTATCCAAATGGCAAAATCATTCTACATTATATGATGGGGCACGAAGCGTACGTGAGTAACATTTGCCTGTTGAATAATTTCCTTGTGTCCGGTTCTGGTGATTGTACACTACGTCTGTGGGACTTAGACAGTGGCGATCTCGTTGATAAACTAATTCTCGACCGCCCGATTCGAAATGTGGTTGAAGTCAGCGTACAACATTGCACTGCCGCTGTGCAATTTCACGATTCCAATGAACTGTATTTTGTTAAACTTGAAAAAAATAATGATAATTACAATTTTGTGAAAACTCAACAAGAAATATTTCAGAGCAAAGTTATAAATATAGGTGCGTGTGATAAGAAACTATGGATTTTTACGAAGAATACAATTCATAACTATACAGTTGCTAAGGATAATAATATTTTTAAAGAAGAGAACAATTTAGTACAAGAAACGTTAAAAGAATATACCGAGTCTTATACAGCATTAGAAACCACTGATTTAATGGTTCATCTGTACCAAAAGATGATTGATAGAAAGAAGAGAATTAAAGAACATAATACATAATGTACCTATAACTAAATAAGTCCAGTGTTTAATTCATTCAAAGAAGACAAAATTATTACTTTTTTTTATATAAAGTAGTTGGTTGTATATTTGTAAACGTACTTGTCTTATCCTGTTTTAAGATTTATAAATTATAATAATAAGAAATTTATAAAAATTTTAATGTACCTATTATAGGTTAAAATCTAAAAATCAAAATGTGTAGGTACTTTAACATTTTAAACTTCTCAGATTGTTTTCTAAATTGTATGAAATCAACATTTTGTAATTATGAATAGGTATAAAGTTTTTATTATATAATAAATATTACAATAATAATTTGATACTATTATTGAGATCAATATTATAATTAATTTTAATTTATCTATTCTAATACCGGGTTCATGGAAAAAACCTCTACGTGGCGTACTCCAGAAAATGTTCTCAATGGCTAATTTTTCCAAACCCAGGTACATATACTAATATTATAAAAGATATTTGGATGTTTTTAATAAATAAACTCAAAAACTATTGAACTGATTTCAAAACTTCATTCACCATTAGAATGCTACATTATCCCTGAGTAACATAGGCTATATTTATTACTAGAAAAAATGTAATGATAAAAAATGTACTATGAAAATTGTAATAATTAGGTTTTTAGGTATTTTTGGTAATTGTTTATTTATTTATTTTTTGTTTTTTCGTGAATCAGGGGGTTTACCTTGGTGATACAGTTGATAATTTGGTTGTCATGGATAAGACAAATATTATTATTATTATTATTATTATTATTTACACTGCAGGATGTGGGGCTACTTTGGTAACATGGATGAAGAAAAATTTTATTGTATGGCAAAGAAATATAAGAAAATTATTCACCATGCTCTGCGATCTCGTTACAAATTCTTGATTTCACTAAAATAGTCTTCAAATGAAAATGTCATAACATTAGAAGTAAATAAGTACAAAGGTCCACAACAGCTATAAACACACTTATGTATCTTAACTGCCAAGTGGTTAAAACTTTTTTATCATTCGAAAACAAGAATAGTGATAATATGACAATATACTATGATAATTGTATTAAATACAAATAACTTTAAACTTGATTTTCTCAAAATCAAAATATTTCACTTATACCCCTTGTGTTTTAGGCGCCTCGTATATGATTTGACTTACTATATTCTTGCCTCTTGAGGTATTGATTAATAAATACATTTTATTATGAATGTACAACTTACAGTTGTTGAATTTACATTTCAATATTATTCACCGTGAAGATTTTAATAAAACCCCATTTATACATTTGCGTACTGCATATGATAGAAAGTAATTAAATAATAATATAGGTAAGTGTGAGATGAATAAAAATAATTCTGAACAGGGTGTTTAATCTATAATAATATGAACTACGTTGTTTTTGATTATTTCTGTTCATACTAGTAATGGACATTAACTTGGTAAATTGGGTGGATTTTATTTTTAATATAAAAACCAATTCTCGATTGCCACAATACTCTTTTATGACTGTTTCCTGACTATTCCAGGTTGGATAATCAAAGTAAATAAATAATATTTATTAAGTTTTTGTTAATTTCATTCGTTTTGAATTCAATGTCTCTTTTGAGAGAAAAATTCAGTAACATAAAAAACAGTAAAAACAAACATAACTTAAAAAGTAAATACAAATATAATATTTGTATTGCCTATTAAAGTATTTATTACAATCAGTCTTACTTTGTTTTTTTTATTGAAAAGTTATGTCTCATTTAAAATTTGTTTTAAAGTAAACATTAAAATATTAAAATTTAAACATAACAATTAAGTAGCCTTTAATTTTATTGATTAAAGTAAAAAATGTGTTCGTCCCAATTTTGAATAGGTAAATAGGTACCTAAAACATTTCCCAACCTATCGGGTATTAACCCATGGTTCATTAGTCATTAATCATTACCATACTAGTCTGTATAGAATATTATTATGACAATACAGTCTGCTCGTATAAAACTACATACAATTTTTGTAAAAATAGCAATTTCAAAACCACCTCTGTCAGAATAACAATTATAGATATAATAGAGGTATCTTCCTGTATTATAATTTATAAACAGCGCATTATTTATCCATTAGCCATATGTAGGCACAAGAAATATTTCAAGAATTTTTGAAAAGATAAATTAGTTATTTAAGAGAAATTACAGTAATTAACTAGAATATAAAACCATACAGATAGGAACCTAATTAGGTAATTAAAATATCAACCCAAAGCCTACAACAAATATCCACTGACAGTAATAATTTTTCGAAAAATCAAACGGTCAAAATACCTGACTGGCTTTTTATACAAATATTAAAATTATTCAGAACAGGTAATTTCGTTTATTTTCATAATAAGTTGCTGAATTGCTTATAAAATCGGTGTAATAATTTTTGTTTTACTTATTGACAAAAAAAAAAAAAGAACTGATACTGGAAACGGGTGCGTCCAGTGTTATAAGTGGGAAAGTGGGATACATAAATTTAGTGTCGGCCCTAAGGAGGGGGAGGGGTGGTAACCGCACCGGTTACCCCCTCACCGGACCCCGTAAATTATGTATTCGAAATATCACTTTATCCATAAATAATCATAATAATATTGTCCCAATAGTAAGCAAATTTCGATCCATGTGCCATGTGGCTCTGTAGTTTTCTTAGGACACAGGTTGTTTTCGACGAAAATCAAGATGGTACCAATTATACATAACTAATAAAAATATTAATTATAATAAAATATTATTTGTACCTAATTAGGTACCTACTCATTTTGTGTCTAATTTAAAAATACAAAATTTATGATTTCATTAATTTATATATAGGTATACAAATTTAGATTTTTAACAGGACCCTAAAGTTTATAAAATTATATGAAAATAAAGTAAGTCCGCTAGAAAATAAAATAAATAAATATATACGGGGCCTCGCAAAATTTTACACCGTGCCCCGAAATCTAACGGGGCTAAGTATGGTAAAATTGTCGAAACATTTGAATCATTTTAAAGCTTTGTATATAAAACTTTAATATTTTTGTTGAAATTCAGTTAAAAATATTCGTATCGACTTTATGGACTTAAATTCTGATATAAAATGTATTTTTGCCTTTTCTGGACATGGTAAAATTTTCAAAATATTTAAGTTATTTTTGGGTATTTTAATAAGCGTAAGCTGATCGTTATTAACGTTTAAATGAACGAATAATACTATTAATAAATGCTCATAGTTGTATTTTAAAATGAATGGGGGGGGAGGAGCTATAACCTATAATTATTAACGTCTCCCTGATTTGAGCACAGAAGTTCCTTAAAAAATAAATAACTGCAGCACGTCTTTATTTGAACGTGTATAATCTTTGACTCCGCGAAAACTCGTTTTGATAACATTATAATAATATAATATTAAGCATGTAATATATACAAATATATATGTAACTACCGTTGAATTATTCAAATATTATAATAACAATTACCTGATAACTAGGTATTATAGATGCATAGTATAGGTATAATACAGGGTGATTCACTAAGGGTTCTCACCCCAATTTTTGGTTAAATTTTGCATATTATAATATTCAAATTCTGATTTTCGGAGTTACTTTACTTTACTTACTAGATTAAGTGTACTTAGTTAAAGCCGATATTTTCGAATACTTCGATTTTTCATTGCATTTAAGGAGTATCCTGTGGCGATACCAACTTTGGTTTTTCAAATGAGAATCTAGTTAGATAGTTTTTTTTGCAATTTACCGGCTCAGCCACGACAATTACTGTAGCAGTTTATTCGAGTGACCTGGACGGAATATTATTACAAAATTACGTCTTCGTAACTCAAAGGTAAAATATAATTTTCTCAACAAATCACATTTCTTTATAGTACAGTTCGAGCCACCTATAATGCTTCATTTGGGTAACATACATATAAAATACAGAGTATACATTAGTTTTACAAATTAAAATATATCTTTGCGGGTCCCAGGAAGGAAGGAAGTACTTACCAATGCGGTATAATAGCTTTCAATAAAAGCGAATGAAATGTAGAACATGAATTTGTATACTTGTTCATAACCTTAAACACTAATACATTATACATACATTTCATACAAGCTGTTTTAAAATACATACATTTACGCCGTTTAAATAAAGACGAAACAATGACATTATAGACAAATTTATTAGAAGAAAAAAAAAAATTATTACTAACGATATCGACTTCAGCTTTTGCATCGCTATAGAACCGAAGATATCGTAATGTAACACTATATTGCAGTTATCTCTCGCTGTTCCATAAATTGATTATTGTTTAATTTGAAATGCATATTATTTATACATTGGACGCACGCTACCTATTAATAAATCGACCGATCGATATAATGTAATATAATAAATCGCGCGGCGGTACATAAAGGGACTGTATTTTTATATTGTAGACGAGATATCATCACGAGAACGAAGGGTCGTGGACGGCGGCGGCGGCCCCACTCGAAGAATTTTCATTGCAGACTTTACAACACCGTCGGCGCGTAATCTATTAACTTCGATGTACGGCCGGCCCGCGCGTACGGCCTTTCGCCCCGGTGCGTCACATCAAAGCGAGCCCTCTCCATTTTTGCAATAAAAAAAAGTCGGTCCTCCGCCCTTGCAACAGCACTCGACTATACGTCCTCTCCGATATTGGCGCGCACTCGTGTGCCCAGCACCGCGGAAAACCCTTTTTTCACCCCGCACCCCCGCCACCGCACATGCACATATAATATTCTTTTTCGCCCCGTATATACTGCACCCCACCCTCGCGCCGTCATTTACACCGAACCCGTAATCCTATTACACTCGCCGTCGTCGCGTCACATATTATATTACATAAACATTTTAATAAATGTTTTGGACACGGAAACATTTTCGTCAAAAACGAATTTAATGTTCGAGCTGGTATCGTAATGTTATTGCATCAATATGAACAATAGATGTGCAAATTAGCGTTCGAAAAGTCTAAAACGGTTTCGATAAATGATTTCGAAACCATTTTAGAGTTTTAGACGTGAGCCGGTTTGTGTAACTTTGGTTTTTTCTTGAAAAACACTGTTAGTAAAAATGTCGCGATTTTTTCCAACCAGAAATAGGTAGGTACAAGGTACTTAACCAGTATGCACTCTTTTTGTCTGGTATCCGGTGGTACATAATTTCAATAATTCTTTTAGATTCCCAAGAGTTGATCTACAAAATTAAAAAGGTAATAACAAATTATGTAACTGTGCAGGAGAAGCAATGCGAAGTAAGTATGTCTGTTTTGGTTTTTTTTTTTTTTTTTTTTTTTCCCTTTTTTNT